TGTTATTCCAAAGTTATGCGCACTAAGGAAACCAACTTGTTGGACTGTAGTGCTGAGTTTCCAGCTACTTTCGGCACTTTTGATGCCGTAAGGGGCAGGGACGTGCAGAGGGGGGGGCGGAGGGTGCTTGAGCACCTGCCCCTTTGTCCCTGATTCTCAAAGTGCCCTTTTGTAGGGTTTATTATTATTTTTAATTTTTTATTTATTTATTTATTTTTTTTTGCGTGTGTGTGTGTATTTATGTGTTTGTGCATGTCCAAAACAATAATAATTTAGATCTACTGTTCCATGGTAACCGTGGCCGGTCACATGATATACTGGATCATGTGACCGGCCGCGTCAGCTTCACACAACGTGCCCTCAAGCTAACCTTACTGCCGTGACGTGCCCTGCTGCTGCGGATAACCACTGCGACTCCCGATTCCAGAAAAAGTAAACAACTGGTCAGGTAAGTAGGTGCTGCAGTGGTGTTAGTTTGTGCAAGGTTTATTGTTGCAAGATGAGTAGACTGACCGGGTAAAGTAAGCAATGAGCATCCTCTGTGCTGTGCAAATTTGCACACACCTCTCGCAAGTTATAGCCCTAGCCAGCGGCGCAAAAAGTGGGTATGCACTATAGGGCACCGGTACTGGAGGAGGCGCAGAAACGATCATAGTAAAATGATTTTCTGTATTTAACTTCTTTTTATGCACAATATGATTATGTCACCGATTAATTCCCGCCAGTCATTTTTAAATACTTTGATAATACTTTCATTGCCCCAGAATGTAGGTAGGTAGTTGCATCCCTGCCGCTAGCTAATTGACCACCACACACGCACAGCGTGCTATGGGGAGGAAGTACGTCAGGTTTCTGTTGTTGTTACTGTCTGTTTCACCTGCTATGTGAAAGTGCAGAGAGATATGTATCTTACTCTCAAACAGGTGTGTTTTTTTCCTGTTTTATTTCACTAAAACTGTGCAGTATGCATATTCACATCATTTTGGACCATTGCACAACAAAAATAATTTGAGTTTTGAATTTCTAAACCTCTCCTTATTTACACAAAAAAAT